AAAGCTGAATAAATAAGCTTTCCATTGACGTATGGTTTGTTAGGATAGGACCATATTTGGCCGAGATACAACTATTTGAAAATCTGGAATCTGAGGGTGCAAAAAATATAAATATTGAGAAAATCACCTTTAAAGTTGTCCAAATTAAGTCCTTAGCAATGCATATTACTAATCAAAAATTAAGTTTTGATATATTCACGGTAGGTAATTTACAGAATATCTTCATGGAACATGATCTTTACTTAATGTCCTAATGATTTTTGGCATAAAAGAAAAATCAATAATTTTGACCCATACAATGTATTGTTGGCTATTGCTACAAATATACCCCAGCGACTTAAGACTGCTTTTGTGCTCCAGGGTCACATATGGTATAAACAAATAGAATAAATATTTTGCATACAGAAAGATTTAACCTAAAAATGTGTAGAGCTAGCACTAGAAGTTTTCTTGATGTTGCATACAATATTTTCATTCTGTACAAAGTCTGGAACGACATGAGGGCAAGTAATTTAAACGGCAGACTCCACATATATAAACTCTAGAAATCTGGAACTGTCTTCAGTCTGGATGTGTGGCACACGTGTCCGCTCTACCTCTGGGATTAGCTGAAAGAGTGCGTTGGAGTACAGAGTACCAATGGCCAGGGCTATGAAGTACAGCAGCAACCGCTTGTAAAAGGTTTTCCTCATGAAGGGAACCACACTCGCCCCGACCAGTGAACACAGAGATATCACTGTCACACACAGGAAACCATACCCCCACACTGGCCAAACAACCAGAGGACAGAGAGAGAGAGAGAGAACACAGGAAGTGGAAAAGAAAGGGAAAAAGAAGAAATAATATTTGAATTAATCAGCAGAATAATTAATACTAGGCGAAAGGTTGACATTCATAATCTCAAATGTGAGATTTACTCCCTGATGGGAAAAATTAAGTTCTGTGGGCCACTGAATGATCAAATTAATTCATGCAACCACATTTGAAGAAAATACACAATATTAAATCTTATTCATGAATTGCATTTACAGATTTGATGTCAATTTATATAATAAATTAACAGCAATAAATCAGACATTTCAGAGTCATGCTATTACACTACTATTCAAAAATTTAGGGTCAATACATTTTTTTTTTCAAGTTTTCAACGCTCAACAAAGCAGCATTTATTTGATCAAAAATATAGTAAAAACAGTAATATTGTAAAATGTTATAATAAATTAAAAATAACTTTTCTGTTTTTTTCCTCAATCAATTCCTATGATGGCAAAGCTGAATTTTTATTTTTCTGGATTCTTTGATGAATAGCAAGTTCAAACGAACAGCTGAAACTAATCATAAATGTCTTAGATGTCACTTTTGATCAATTTAATGCATCCTTGCTGAATAAAACTATTAACTTCTTTCAAAAACAAATGACTGACTCCAGACTTTTGAATGGTAGTGTATGTTGTTCACATTTTAACATCCATTGTGTTTCATTCACAGAGGAAGTAGGGGGAGGCGGCTTCCCGTTGACCATCATAGAGCAAATTAGAGCCCGACCGATATATCGTTTTGCCGATATTATCGGCCGATATGAGCCTGTTGCCGGTATATCGGTATCGGCGAATATGCCGCCGATATTCCGCCGATATGAACATTTTTTTACAGAACATATAACGCAAATAAAATGCTTGAAATGGTGTAATTACTTAGTTTGTTCAGCAGAGCACGCTCCATTGTTTGCTACTGGTGACCTGGAGGAAACGCTTTAAAGCTTAAGTCTATAGAAAACCATTAAAACTTTGAACGGCCATATCTCCATAACGGCGCGGCGAATCCGCACCAAATTCGGGGGATCCCTTCAGCTCGAGAGCTGAAGGGATCCCCCGAATTTGGTGGAGATCCGCCGGCGCGTTTGCGAGATAGTGACACCAGTCAACACTTTCACTTCAGTAAGGACTTGTTCAGGCAGCAGCATTCAAGCGTTGTCTTATTCGACCGTAAGTGCCCTGCGAAGTGGACTTCACATGATCTTCCGCCATGATTCCAGTTCCAAGGGAACGTACTTTACATTCAAAGGGCATTAAAGTGCGCGAGACGTGAATTTATATTGTATTTATTTACAGAGGTATATTATGTCACACTTCTCTAGTAAGTTTCGTCTGTGTGTGAAGACAGTAGCGCAAATCCGTGAATGAATGTTCCGAAGTGAAATAAACTTCAAAGGAATAAAGTTGAATGGAATTGAATTTAATTAAAGTTGAATAAACTTCAACTTTACTGTTCAGTGCACTGATGTCACTCATTTTGGATAATAAAGTTCATTGTTGAATTGTTAAATGCCCTGCCTCCATTACGTATCTCTGTCAAGTCATTATAAGTGTTTGATCACCACATTTGAGTGATCATTGCAAAAAATGTTTTTATGTATATATATTCTGTTTATGTATATACTCTATTCTATATATAGTACCAGTCAAATTTGGACCCTCGAATGGGAAAGTGTCCAAACTTTTGACTGGTACTGTACTATAATATGCACAAAGAATATCGGCCGATATATCAATATCGGCCTTTTTTTAGTCCCTAATATCGGTATCGGTATCAGCCCCAAAAAACCCATATCGGTCGGGCTCTAGAACAAATGATGCCTTGAGACATGAGGTCACTGAAGGTCATTCAAAGCTGATGGGACAGCTCAACATAGCTCTACTCCTGAGGCAACAGAGGAACTGAAAACACCCGCATTCATGTTGACCAGCCAGTGAACCATCAACACCCAGCACACACCTGTACCAACAACCCAACAGAGAGCATCCTGGATACGCTCTTTTAATGAAGATGTGATTTCCATAACCAATGAGCCAGTGAAAAAATGTAGCGTTAGTGATCTACTTTAAAGGCAGTATTCAGGGATAGAGGAACAATTTGAGGTATGGGATACTGATCATCTCCAAAAAAGTGTGGGAACAAACATCGAACGTTATGGCGGCTTGACAACCCAAACACAAAAAGCCAAACTTTTACAGCTCTCAAACTACATCCAAGCTTTCTATGCTTCTAGCAATTTTAATAATATCTGTACTTTAATTGGTCATTGTTATTAATTGACAGGAACACAGAAAATTAGCCCCTGCAGAAATCTATAGAAAGTTCTATTTTAAAAATGAATTTATACAAGAGAAACAACAACAGAAATTTCTATGGAAAACAAAGTGAAAAATAAAAAATAAAATGAATGTTAAAAAAAAAAAATCTTTAAAAATGTCTAATTCCATCTGGGCCCATTCAAGGGTTTTAAGGGTCTGCAGACAGCTTAAGATTTATAAAAGTAAAGTAAAATAAAAACTAAATTAAAATTATGAAATAAAATGAAAACTAAATTTAAAAATACAATAAAATATTTCATCAGGGCCTATTTATGGCTCTTTTTAAGGCTCTTTTCAATACATCTATCAAAAGGCTAAAGATTCAGTAATCATTTACAAAATGATTAGCGCTAAAAAAAATTAAATTAAATTAAAATGTAATTAAATTAAAAACAAATAAATTACATAAATAAAATATTAATTAAAAACATAAATAAATCTAATAAATCTAAAATAAATGAATATAATGGATCTATTAATTAGTCTTCTTTAGCAACTGCAAATTGCAAACGACTTTTAGTCAACATTTAAAAAAAATGGTCTGCAATACAAAATCACCAGCTATAGTGAAACCTACGGCCTTAAAATGCACCAATAGAAAGATCATGGGAGAAATTCAATTTCAAAGAGAGGAAGAGCTTCAGAAAGAGGAAATCTTTCCTGTGGTTAGGGATGTTTTGTTGCGTTAAAAGGGAGAAAACATTGTGTGAAGGAAGAAAGATGGAAAAAGCCCTTTGAGATTAATCTTGATCCACGGTTGATTGGGTGGAAACGGGTGGATGGATACTGAACCTCAGGCAGGAGCTGCAGGATGGCGGTGGAGAACAGCGTGCCGATGGACAGAGCGATGAAATAGATGAGTGTCCTGTGCATGAACCACGTCCTCATCAGGGGCACCACAAAAACAGCAGTCAAAGCGAACGCACTAATCAGAGTCACACTCAAAACTGAGTAACCCCACACTGCAGGACACACACACACACACATATGACATTACACCCCAGCAGACACATCCCACAGCTTTTGCATGCTTGGATTATAATGTACACTTCAGTCCGGCAACACTGATCTGCTACCATTTAACCCAACCAGACTGGAATCCCTGGAAATACAAGACATCTGTCATAAACACACTCCTGAATGGACACACGTGCAGTTTGAGAGAGAACATCATTATGTGGGAGTGAACTGCGGCAGATCACATTTCTCCAAAACCACAGAGTTGCACTGGTTTACAGCTGAGAACAACTGTCAGCACTTTGCCTACAGAGGAAGAAAATCATTCATGAAAACACACAGATGCATTTAGGAAACCTATTTCTTTCATATAACAGCAGTAACATATGGACTCATAACCTGTAGCCATAAAAATATGCGTCACTGAGTTTATAACAACACACTGATAATAGGCTTCTTCCACATTTACTTCAAATACTTTTTTTCTTGTTTCCCGTTTCTTCAAAAAAATGAACATTCTATCATTATTTACTCATCCTCATGTCAACAGTGTTTCCCATTAATGACCTGGACTGTGGTGGCCGTCTAATCTGCTTCTAATCAGTTTCATTATAATCGGAAAATATATTTACACTTCTCATAAGAACATAAAAGCTGTCTAACATTGTGTTTTGCTTAGTGTGCTAATCAGGGTAATGTGACATGCACTAGTTACCTTTTATTTTCACATTTACATAATTGTTAACATTTTTGTGGAGGGATGATTACAGCAAATCACTAGATTTGTAATGAAAAGCATTTATAAACCTGTCATCACAGAAACTTAAAGGTCTCCTTGCAGTTTTACAGAAAAATAAAAGCTTGAATAATGATAATACTACTAATAAATGTGACCCTGGACCACAAAACCAGCCATAGGGGTCTTTTTTTTATTTATCGAGATTTATACATCATCTGAAAGCTGAATAAATAAGAAAATCTGGAATCTGAGGGTGCAAAAAAAATCTAAATATTGAAACAAAATCCTCTTTAAAGTTGTTAAAATGAAGTTCTTAGCAATGCATATTACTAATCAAAAATTAAGTTTTGATATATTTAAGGTAGGAAATTTACAAAATATCTTCATGAAACATGATCTTTATCGGTTCCCACAGTTTCCACTGCAGAGGAAAAGTTGGGACAGAACCAAAAAAAAAGGAAAAAAGAATTGCAATCTTGTTGAAGTTGTGAGATATGCTATAGAGACAATGAGCTGTGGTGCTTATCCAAATGATGCTGGTTTGGGTCTAGCCTGCAACCTGTCCTAAATCCTATTCCCTCCTCTTTTGTGATTATTTCACGTTCACATTACCATCACTGTACAATTTGTTAAGACTGAATGGGATAGACTGCACTGAGAACAGGATGCTGTAAGACTCCATCTCTAAAAGCACACATTCCCCTTTTCTTTCTCTTTATCTGTTGAATTGCGGTGGGAAGCGTCACTGCGACATTCTCCTTTCATTTCCTCTCCCGCTGCCAGGATGCGCAAGAAATGCCAAAACCCAGAAGTGGCTTGTTTAGCAGATAAAGCACAGCATGATGCAAAGCGACAGGAAAAATCCCTGTGCCAGAAAACATGGTGCACAGATGTTGAGCCACAAAGAGTCGCAAGCCGATTCAAAACAAGAATTTCAATTAATAAAATAAAATCTAAAATAATCTGTTATAGACAGGGTTTGTTTTAGGTTATAGTGAATACAAAAAAAACTGCACAGATTTGAAACGTGCGTAAAAATAAAAAATCACTTATAGAGCACATGTGAAATTGTTTCCGGTTCTCCGAATCCATGACTTTCTCTCCTTCACACACGCCCATGAAGTTGTCTGAACTCTCCCCGTCTTGCCTTTTTATGTCTGTGGCCTACACAAGGGTTATTTCAGTTCAGCTTCTGAAAGCACACAGCCTCCCTTCAAATCTCCCGTCTGACCAGAGTACAGTGATTGAATCCAGATGTTGCCGGGATCTGATATAAACAAGGTTAGGCATTTTAAAAGTCAAGATGTCTTATTCTGATATGAAAGATTCTTTCAAGTGTTTGCCCGAGTTCTATCTATGCCTATATACACGGCATTAGATGTGTATTGAAGTATCATACCTAGGCAATAGGCATATCTTCAAACATGACTCTCTAGAGCTCTTCTCAGTCTAACGTCACGATTTGGAGACATTTTTGCTAGACTATCAACTGGTGATTTTTAAGGATGTATAGTCCTAGAAGAGTAACTACAACAGTATTTCATGACATTAACTATGAACATGATCCAATAACGTTTAACTATCTAAAGGGGTTCAATCATTTTTCCAAGTGCACCACTGTTCAAACGTTTGGGGTTAGTAAGAAATATAGAATAAAATGCATCATGGTTTCCACACAAATATTAAGCAGCACAATTATTTTCAACATTTATAATAATACGAAATGTTTCTTGAGCAGCAAATCAGCATATTAGAATGATTTCTGAAGGATCGTGTGACACTGAAGACTGGAGTAATGATGCTGAAAATTCAAGAATATTACAATTTAAAATATATTAAAAAAGAAATTGCACAATATTACTCTTTTACTGTATTTTTGATTAAATGAATGCAGCCTTAGTAAGCATAAGAGACTATCACATTTTTAAAAAATCATACCAAGCCCAAACTTTTGAATGGTAGTATATAGTGCATTTGTACATTGTAAATTTGAAATTTGTACATTTGTAAACTGCACATACCTGTACAATTATTTAAACAATTACATTTTCTATTAATTTAATTCTGTATATAGTGCATTATTTAATTTTCTGTTTTCTTATTTTATTGTTATATTTCATCTCTACTGTGTTATTCCCATGCATGTTTGCACTATGTCCGTACTTTCTTCTGCACTGGAAGCTCCTGTCGTCAAGTCAAATTCCTTGTGTGTGTAAACATACTTGGTAATAAAGCTCTTTCTGGCTTCTGATATGGCTATTATTTTATGTGCTTGTGCCCTCTTTCAAAATAAACGAATACATAAATGAATGCCACTTGCTTCAATAATGTGTTTTCCATTCCAAAGTACAAGACGTTGTACTTTATCTACATTGATAAAGTTTAACGGATGGCATTACCTGTGGACGTGCAACACATGACAGTTTGAAGAGAATATAACAAGAACTGTTAATAAGCGTCACTGCATTCACAGTGTAAGCACATCTCAGCAGAAACAGTGCTAAGCAATTGGAAGCAAACAAATTAACCTTGACACAAGGCCAAAATACGTCACACCCATATTTGATTGTTGAACAATTAATTTTAAAACCATGGCTTGATTGTTCAACAAGGTTAGGGTTTGGAGAACCAAGTCTTTATGGCCCTTTTGTTTTTTGCATGTGGGGATTGTGCATAAATGTACATAAATCTTCTTTAAATGTTTGTTTAAGGTTTGCACACCTGTAGGATTGATTTGAAGTATAGCTGAAATAGTCAAATAGGGGTGTACATATACTTTTGGCCATGCAGTGTATAATGACAATAGCATCATGACTAATATTATGCATTGACTATCAATGGATAGTCGATCTTACCCTCAGCGTCAGTGGGTCTGGGGCTGGTCTCTGACTCTTGGTCCTGTTGGGTCTTGCACGCTTGTGAGTCCAGCTGCTGTATCATGGTAGGGCAGATTTCCTGCAGGCCTCGTTCATCTATACGGGACTGTTCGCTCATCCCATACGCTGCCAGAGTGTCTGCAGCCAAGCACTGAGAACAGAGGACAGGACAGAGGTTTCAATTACTGATCACAGACGAGATGCTTGAATTACAGCATTGAGAGTGCAGAGTTTGTGCTGGAGCTGTCACAGCACAGGATAGAAACCACAGATCTGACTTTGAGGTCTAACAATGTCATATCTCAAGGTCATACTGAGGATTAGGAATCAAAATGTTGAAAACATATCCTATAATAACTCTCTGAAGAAAGAGGGGGGAGGAAATCATACTTTTCTTAAAAAGCCGTGTTTACAAAAACCTACATCTGATGAGGAAATTAATGCATTTTAAATTTGAAATTAAGAACCATGATATCAAAATACAAATTGAGAACAATTAAATATACTCTTATGACATTCCATTTTTTAAAAACAAAATATTTACAAAAAGCAATCATGCATTAAATGAAATTTAATGAAAAAGTAATTTTAGGTCAATTTAGGACAACTATTCAGCTGCCAAAAATAAGCTAATAATAAAGCCAGGAAGCATGTTGTTATTAAGTATTGAATAAACTCAAACAATCTTCAAGGAACAAAAAGACATTCAGATACTCCACTTGCAGTCCTTGTAAATGTTACACAGTCTTTTCGTCTTTTAGCATAACAAATGCTCTCTGTGGAGGAGGAAAAATAATGACAGCTCAATATGGCCTTTTATCGTTGTGGACAAACTGATAAAGTACAACGTGTTACTCTTTTTCTAACTTACACCTTGAGAGGTGGCACAAGACATAATGCCTATGATAAAACACTTAATGACGTGAACACACAAATGCTAAACCAAAGACAAATATTTCTGGCTTTGCACTTACTCAACGCTCAGGCAGTGAATATTGTAATGCCAAGGATTTATACACTACATGGCCACACACATATACGCTACTTTTTTAACAAAAGTATGTTTTGTAATTATTTACAAACTTTTATTCAGCACGGATGTATTAAAGTGGTGGTTGACTCGTGTTTTCTAGGCTTGATGGTGTTTATGGGGCACAGTTTAACACGTGTCAATGCTTCGTTTTTTTAAAAAACGCATAATTTTTCACATAATTTACCTTTTTTCTACACCGCTCTGTCCCTTCTCCTATAAACGCGCTGATGATTTCCTGTTTTTATGAAGCCCCTCCCTCAGAAATACGCGATGGGCTGAGATTGGTCAGCTGGCTCAGTGTGTTGTGATTGGCTAAACCGCCTCTAGTGCGCGTCTACACATCACGCCCCTCAGCTCAGCGGCATGTGCTCCGGTTGTATTGTAAATAATGGCGTCGTCAATATTGCTTATCAATTTGAGCCCGAATGAGACACCGAGGATTTTAGTGAAGAGGATCACGCAGAACCTGTGCAAGCACATGGCTCTTAATAGTATGTGTTTTGTTTGTTGTTGTCTCATACTTTGAGATACGCTGTTATGTGTAAAAGATACTGCTTATGCTAGCTTTTAATACACGGTTTTATCCTGATTAAAGCTGTAATACAGCACGGCAACCACATTCGCGTCCATGTTTAACGCTTCTCATAGCTATGTGAAAAATATTTTTCTGTCTACACCAATAAAGTGTTTAATTGGAACACAGTTTATTGGAGCTGATCATCAGGTGAGAGAGAGAGAGGCAGAGCGTGTGCAGAGCAGGGGATGCAAGGAACAGGATTAAGAACCGCTGCTTTAGAACATTGATTGTGGAACTTGTGAATCCATTAGAATCGTTAGAAGACAGAATCGCGATTCATATAGAGGGGTTAAAGCAAAAAAAATCTTTTGACTGAAAATTTTTCCATGGCCAAACCCCATTCCACAGCCATACCGGTCACACACCCAGTTTAAGAGCAGTGTTGTTCTTCTTGTAATTAGGAGCGCTTGTCCTCCTAATTAAAAAAATTTAGGAGCACCTTCTAATCAATAAAAAAAATTCTAATCAAGAATTAGCGAGCTGACATTTGACTCAAAGTGATTTCAGGGGCATATTCTTTTTACCTTTGTAAACGCATTTTTCTAATTTTATTAAAAGTATGCAGTGTTTCCTCTAGGATTTTTTCCATCTGTGGTGGCAGGACTATTTTTTATGGCCCACGCCCCCGCAAACCTGCGCCTCAGAACGCGCGCAAATATTAAGCTTTCTCTGAAGTATTGTGTTTAAATGGACAAATGTATTCTTATTTTCTTTATTTTTATTTGACAGTATAGTGTTTGCCTAAACATAGCACTTACCGAACCGTACCGAAACCGTGACTCTAAAACCGTGATACAAACCGAACCGTGAGTAAGTTGAACCGTTCCACCCCTAGTAGGCATGTATTTTGTGAGCAATATGCAGCCAGTCAGAGTTCAAAAGCCAGTTAGACATGTGAAAATACACCCTGGGCAACAAATGCATATCAAGTCCAACATGCTGTCAAATCTTCTGTCACTTTCTGGACTCACCTGAGATGCATTGGTTTTGGCGGGCTGTGTTTGTGCATCGTGGTCTCCACTCTGACCTCCGTTTAAGCGCATGAGGAGCGCTCGGAGCTGAGGGACGGAGATGCTGGTGTTGTCGCCATAGCGTGTCAGCAGCTCCTGAAGGACCTGCGCAGGAGACGGTCCATCCTGACCACTGACATCTCCTATTGGCCACTGCAGCAGGCCTAGAGTCAGGGTCAGGCCAATGGTCAAGGTCAGCTGTCTGCAGCCATTGGCTGGTCTCAGGGTCATGACTCTACCAGCAACAGGTCGAGCTCTACATAGAAATACAGTATAGAGGGAGATGAGAAAATTAGGCAAACGAATGAGAATTATATGTCTAAATGGCCATCAAGTAGTTTATCTTTCAGAAAAAGATATAATCCTCACACAGCCAATCAAAATGAACATGATTTACTTGCTAAATAAATGTACAAAGGTGCACATTATTAAAAAACCAATGGTATAGCCAAATAGTGATCAGGTATTGTTTTAGCAGACCTGCATTTAAATTGGACTCCATTCTATTTACTTTAAGCAGACAAAGTACAGTAAAAGATTTTGAAGTTTTTAAAAACTGAAATAATAATTAAAAAAAAGGTAAAAATGGCTATAGAAATAAAATGGAAATATTAATTTCTGTAAGTGCTATGAACTAACCACTGGACAGAATATGAAAATATTAGTGCTGTCAAATGATTAATTGTGATTAATCACATCCAAAATAAAAGTTTTGTTTACATAATATATGTGTGTGTATTGTGTATATTATGTATACATAAATACACACACATACAGCATATATTTTGAAAATATTTACCTGTATATATTTATATTCATACAATTTATATCATATATAAATATATTTGACATTTTTCTTAACTATATACATGCATGTGTGTGTATTTATATGTACACAATAAATAGGCTATACACAGTACACACATTATGTAAACAAAAACTTTTATTTTGGATGTGATTAATCACGATTAATAAAGATAGGAAATATGAGTCTACTGTGTACTGTTTATGATAGGCCTTAACCTGTGTTATTGTTAACTAAAACAAATGTTAAAACAATTAAAAACAGTTTTCATTAATTGAAATAAAGCAGAAATTTGTTTCATTTAATTTGTTTATCAAGTATATAAATAGTTACTATAATAGTATGTAATATGAAAATAACATTGACCTTAAACACCCTCAATACCAGCAAAATATTTCCACAATATCTCAATGTGTGTGTTGTATTTTTGATACAGCAAAATCAGAAAGCATAACAAGAAATTACATTTTTACTTGAGTACATGGGCAACAATTTATGAAATGTAAGCTGCTACTAGTTTAACCTGCCTTGGATAGCAACACCAAGATCATGGGTTTGATTGCCAGGGAAAGCAAGAACTGATCAAATGTGTAGTTTGATTGCAATTTAACTCGCTTTGGACCATTGCAGAAGGTCTCCATCAATACGCTTGTTAAGTCTCACGTGTCACTGTTTCTGGATCCGAGCGCTCTATCAGATGCAAAAAGCCAACAGCACCCGGTGCTAATATACACTCACGGTGTGCTGGAATACCAATAAAATTAAATTAATGACACTAACCTTTATCTCCATACTGAAATCTCAGATGGCCAGACGATAATTTATCATTTATTAATTAATCATTACAATTGGTGTCTGAGAAGTCCTGAGACTGTAATGTGAGCTTTTAAAAGCTTAACTTAAATCTGTGATATTAATAAATGCTTCTCATAAACAGCTACTGAGATATAGTCTTCTCAATGGAACTGGGTACCGGAAACAGTTTTTCTTGCGTCAAGACATAACGAGCAGTTAAGGAGCTGATGCGAGGCAAACAAAACACAGGTTTCCTTCAACAGAGACACATTATTCAAGCGCTTTTTGAAAGACACTGGGAATCAATGTCTGCAAAGGTCCTGATGCATGAAAGTCTGGATGTTTTTTTAACCACAAGAAGCAAAATCCGATTGTAAATGAATGAACTAACATTTGAGTCACAAACACTGGATAATTGGCCCCAGAGGGGGCCCTTCTGAAAAGGTCTCAAAGGCCACTGGTGCAGAGGGGAAGAGAGCAAACCCAAACCAGTCATTACCAAGAACGTGAAGAAGCCAGGAACAATATGGAAACTCACCATCGCTGCTAATGACTATCTTTGAGATTTACACAACAGCAGGTTTCCAGCAAACCACCACAAAAGCAATTTTGAATGGGGATGCCTCTTAAATTTCTGCCATGTTTCAACCAAAAGATTTTTTTTAAAGAAAATGTTACTTCCAACAGTAAATCCAACAGAATCTTTGATTATGTATCATATATCAAGTGTTCCGCATCCACCCTCTATGTACTGAATACGGAGTTCTCATGGAGAAATGCAAAAGGGCATAAACAACAGCACAACAATCATGCAGAAGTCTGGAAGCATACAGCCGTCAAAATGTATCAATATCCCTGGATGCGATGGGGATGCTTCTAAACAAAATCTAAAATAAATCTAAATTAATACAAGCATTTATCATTTTCAGCCCTATGCATTCAATATTTTTGGCCACGCCCAATGAATATTCATTGTGATGCATCATGAAAACATTTTGCATGTTTCTGTCCACATAATTTAAATATTCTCACCTGCTTAAATTAATAATTACAAGTTTTGTGAAAATAACAGAACATCTGACAGAAAAGCAGGTTTCACCAGATGCCACTTCTTATTTTGAAAGTATTTTCAGTATTTTGAAAGGATTTTGTCTAATATATCGTAAATATTTTTCATGATGTTAGCGATTAGGGACGTAACGATTAACCGCGAGCCGGTTGAAAATCGATTCAAATATGTGACAATTCAAATCGGTTGAGATGCTAAACAAATCGCGATTCAATTAGGGGTAGGAGTTTATAAGAATCCATGTCTGAGGGGAACTTACTGTTTTTAGAAAAGTTTAGATGGTATTATTTTCTTTTCCTCTTGCCTCTGTATAATGCATATTAACGTTTATAAATGCAGCGCTGCTTTGTTTACAGCGGAAACCAAGGAAACGCTTTAAGCGCCACCTGCTGGCAGAGAGTGAATCTGCGTCAGCAATAATATGCAAGTGCTATATTAGTATATTATTGTTATATATTAGTATATAGTGTTATATTTCAATTTGACAAAGAACTGTGCAGCATTTTGTCCAAGCAATAATAAAAGGACACATTTAATTTATAATTTGTCTTAAATCTCATTTTGTAAAAAAAAAAACGTGAATCGAATCGAGAAATCAAAATCGTGAATCGAATCGTGAGTTGAGTGAATCGTTACATCCCTATTAGCGATAGAATTCCAGTTACTACAACCAAAAGAATCACAAAGTTCAAACTCCAACAATATGGGTAATTTAAAGTCAGATTTCTCTGTTTACTGTATATCAGTGTTAAATGATTAAGACCCATAAACAAAAATACATTTGAATGAACTTCACAATTATGCAATCAAAGGACCTTCGAGAACCTGCCGAGACTCACCTTGCTTAAGCTTACCTGGCCAGATCTTTGGGTGAACGCGAGGCCAAGAAAGAAAGAGAGCGTCATCAAAAGATCAGACAAAAGTGTGTTTGTGAAACAGAAGTAAAACCTGTTGATTAACGTCAATACTGACTGCCATCAAGTAAATACAAGGAAGTAAATGACTGCTTTTTATAATCTGATTTGATTTCATGCAAATATATCTGGGAGAAGTTCGATATTTATTCTCCAGCACTGTGCGCTCATATTTCCGACTCACGATCAGGGTGTAAATTACAGTGTGGGTGTAAAAGAGCACGAGAATGTTTATCAAAAACAGCAGGGTGTGTGAAGGAGAGGTTAACCACACCATGCTGATGCCGGCTGTGCTATGCTGACTACACTTATGCGTGTGGTTTGGAGAGAGAGACAGAGGAAATATGATCCTCACTGCCTTATTGATAATATATGAGGGCCACCAAAAGGCAAGGTGAGCTTTAGTAGAACAGCACACACCTCTGATCAGCTGACAACTCAACTGCTGTCAAATAGTCCATTTAGAACTAGTCACAACATGAAGTTCAATTATATAGCATATTAAACCTGAAGTGTCTCATTTCTGTGCCACTAAATACTTTTACAAAAATAAAATAGCAAAAAAGACATATTGGTACCAGAATAGCATAACTTGGACTAATAAATAACCACCAATCAAGAACCAAGACCACATCACTTGCACAGTAGCAGTGACTTTTTCCATCTCATAATTCAACATTTGTTCCTCATACTTTTTCTAACAATCTTGCAATTCTGAGATATAGACTTAGAATTGCAACTTGCAACTTGCAATTCTGTGAAAAACAGTCCAAACTGTGTGATGTTACCTCGCACTTGAGAGGAAAAAGTCTGAAAACTTTCTGAAAAGTCAGAATTGTGAGATAAAAAAAAAAAAAGAATTGTGAGATTCAATTTGGAATTTTGAGAAAAAGTCAGAATACTGTGGGTTCATATCGCACAATTCTGTGTGTAAGCTGAAGATTTTTTTTTTTTTTTTTTTAGAAATAACATGCAATTGCAAGACACAAAGTTAAAATTGTGAGAATTAGCTTTTTTTTTCTTTTTTTTTTATTCTGTGGCGAAAACATATCATGCTATTTTGTCTTATACAAAACTAAATTCTCAGCCCACCTAACAGCAGCATTTATATTGGAAAAGGCAATCACATCTCGGCGCTGTCACAACAATACACTGATATGATTCCCAGCAGCGGCATTGTATCTCAGATAACGGCAGAGGGTTATAATGACCCTGTCTGAAGAGATCCTTGTGGACTGCTGCTATTTCAGGAGACATGATAAGTCACAGAGAAGAATGTCTCTGGTATTCAGTCTAAAGGGAGACTGTCTATAGCTATTGCATCTGCATCAGGAAGGATCAGGAATCACTGCACAGGACTTTGATCAATTTAAAGACTGACCAAATCTCAGAGGTCAGGTCACTCAAAGCTTTGAGAGAAAATGGTTCTACAATGGCATTATTAAACCGGTTACCACAGAATACATTAATGTTAATTCGTAAAAATGAAAAAGGTAAAAAATGTATTACAGAAACATATTTAGAAATTAGCATTAATCAAGAGTAAGAAATGCCATAAAATTGTTGCTCAATGTTCGAGACACCTAATAGCCTACATTAGTCATTGATAGTTCAGGTTTAGCCGCTACTGCATTAACTTGAAGATTATTGCTAAGTGTTACCAAATAAATGAATTTTGTCAGAGAAAAAAAGTTACTTAATTTTATTGCTTAAGTCTTGAAATTATTTATTTCTTTTTTTTTTAATTCAGATTCACAAATTGCACAATGACCCAAATAAGCCAGAGGCTTTTAAAACACACATTCCTTTAAATGTCCACTGAATGTCTCTAGATTAGGAATGCAGACTAACCTGCACAGTAGTGGGGAAAAAAAAAAAAGAGCAATTCTTTCCACTTGGCAGACATCGTCGCTCTGCTGATGTGGCAGCTTTTATAACCACGAGAGAGGTCCTTATGAACAACTAGACACCTGCTGTCGAGCAGAATACACTAAGACAATCGACGGAAAGAGGTTATGATCTCTAAGGAAAGCGCTGGAAAGCCTTTCAAAGTTCAGCAGAGGAAGTGTGTACTACGTAGTGGTCGACCGATATATCGCCAAGGCCGATATTTTTAAAATATCGGCATCGGCCGATAAGTTTTTCTGTTTGGCCGATGTGTTTGAGGCGGGAGTTTTATTTTGACAGCGCGTTCTGCTTGACTGGAGCGATCGACAAACTAAACTCGTGATTTCAAATTATGCTGTGCTTTATGCATTTGCCCACTGTCATATGGCTAGGAACTATACTCTCATTCCGGCGTAATAATCAAGGAACTTTGCTGCCGTACCATGGGTGCAGCAGGAGCAATGATATTACGCAGCACCTGAAAATAGGCTAACTTCCGTCAACATAACCAATGTGACCACCTGCTTGCACAGGGAGCGTGCTGGGGACTATTTTTTGAAAAACTGGTGCTGGCCCACCTGAAGGACATCACTGGACCCTTGCTGGATCCTCTTCAGTTTGCCTACAGAGCAAACAGGTCTGTTGACGATGCAGTCAACGAAAATGAGCCTATTTTCAAAAATAGTGGAGTGTTCCTTTAAGCAACAGTGTATTGGGTTGAGTTAGCATAAAAGCTGCACTAACACACATTCCTGCTGGCTGCTGACACTTTTTATTTAAACTTAATAGTTGTTTGGCTGTGCAAGTACCACTAATCTGTAGTAAAAATATAATATATGTAGTAAAATATACCCTCACAGTTCAACCACAAATGAAACATTTATCACAAAATAAGATCCTGACACCTACAGGAACCCACTGACTTTAAAAAAAAATATCTTCTTTTGTGTTCTACAGAAAGTCAAACAGGTTTGGAATGACAAAGGCGAGTAAATAATTATGCCTAGGGCTGCACGATAAATCGAAATGGAATCGAGATTGCGATTCGACAGAAGCTGCGATTGTCATGCGTATCTTTCAGTGAAGCACGGTTCTGTGATCAGCAGTAAATCTCC